CGCCGACCCATCCCTACCGTAGCCCATCCTTCGGCTTTCCTCCCAACTTCTCCCTTTACGCCGACCCTCTCCTATCCCTTCGACCCTGTCAACCATCGTCCATCCGTGAAAGCACTTCGAGCGACCCTCTTCCTAGTCTCGGCTGCAGGACTTGACGGTGAGGGATTGTTTCTTGACCGATATGTATTCCTCGTTTTATTCTTCCCCTTCCTTATAGAGAAACCTTATTCGCTCTAATATGAAATTGACTTGCTTTCCAATGAAACACTTTCTTATGATCGACATCCTTCACTCCGCATTTGATATGTTGGTCCAGTTTAACTAACTAGTGAGTGTGTCGTAATACCACGTCTCCCAGTCTGTTGCATGCGGATTTTGTATTTTGATTGTGTTTCTTGTCGCGTTCACATTTTGCTTCGCTGTAGTTTTTTAATTTCGGGATTGGGTAATTGTATCACTGGAGTGGTATAAAATGTTGATTTTAACACGGAAGTGTACAATTGCAGTTTGACAAAGCATTTTCTGTATGTCTATCACTCTCATCTATCACTACATTGATTTTTATCAGTGTGAATGTAATATTATTTCTATCACTAGTGTTGTATTTGGTGTACCACTGTACTGGTATTTGTACCAGTGATTTATATCACTGCAGTGATAGTCGTATTACTTATTCATCTCATATTTCTATCACAATATTCATAGTTCTAATTATCTGTGTACCGCTCCCAAGCATCCCTTAAGGTTTCATCCTCCTCTTGATCAAAGTGGATGATTTGTCTATAGAAATCCACCATCTTAGATGGTGGTGTCAAACTGGGGGTGCTCCAATTAGTATGATATTGTCCGCTTTGGGCCAAGCCCGCACAGATTTACTTTTGGATCTCCTTACCAAAAGGCAGCATACTAATGAGCTTGGTGGACACTAATATACCAGGGTTCCTTCCCTTGTATTTCCGATGTGGTAGTTGGATGGTCCCATAACAATCCTCCCCTCAAGCCAAGGACCACGAACTTCGTTTCCTCTCCTCAACGATTATCTTGATCGGCCAGACACCTTGTATCGATAGGCTTCTCGGTACAAGGATTTTTCCAAACGCAGAACTCTCTTTGATCCGCCAAGCTCAAACGTGGATCTCTCCTGGATCCACCAAATAGACGCGAATCACCTTTGACCTGCCATACAAACGCAGATCTCAAATTCCTAAGCCACTGAATGAGGGTCCCACCAAACTGAAGTCCACCACCCCGGATACGCCAAACCAGACTCTGATACCACTTTTTGTAACTAGGCAGCCCATTGGTACGATATTGTCTGCTTTGGGCTAAACCCGCACGGTTTTACTTTTGGGTGTCCTCCCCAAAAGTCCTCATACTAATTCGGAAGGTGGACACTAATATACAAGGGTCCCTTCCCTTATATTATTGATGTGGTACTTAGATTGTCCCATAACAATCCTCCCCTCAAGACAAGGAACACAAACTTCGTGTCCTCTCCTCAGCGATTATCTTTATCCGCCAGACACCTTGTGTCAATGGGCTTCTCGGTACAAGGGTTTTCCCAGACGCGGAACTCTCTTTGATCCACCAAACAAACGTGGATCTCTCCTAGTTCCACCAGACAGACGCGGACCTCCTTGATTCGCCAGACCAGATGTACCCCAAACATGGATCTCTCGTGGATCCACCAAACTAGACGCAGATCTTAAATCCTGAGGTTACCGAACGAGGGTCTACAGAACTGACGTCCATCTCCCCGGATCCGCCAAACCAGGCTCTGATACCACTTGTCATAATCGGGGAGCTCAATTAGTACGATATTTTCTGCTTTGGGCGAAGCCCGCACGATTTTACTCTTTGGTTTCCTCTCCAAGAGGACTCGTACTAATTGGGCTAGGTGGACACTTATATATAAGGGTTCCTTTCCTTGTATTTCCAATGTGGTCTTTTAATTATCCCATAACAGGCGGGAAGTATTTTGCCATGAACTTCGTGACCAAATCATCCCAAGAGACAGTGGAGAAGAAGGGTCGACTATTGAGCCAACTCCGTGCCTTGCCACTTAGACTATAGGGAAAGAGTCTCAATCTAAGGGCTTCTTGAGGCACTCCGTTCATCATGATTTCATCAATCAACTCGTAGAAACGGTTGATGTGCTCTCTTGGTGACTCATTATCGAGGCCTTGAAATTGAATGTTGATTTGGATCATTGAGATAAGACCGGTCTTGATCTCAAAGTTGTTTCCACCATGGTGGGATTTTGAATTCTCAATTGGATATCCTCCACCTGTGGGTTCATGTAATACCCCATGTTCCTCTTCTCATCACCTTGTTGAGTAGCTTGGTTGGCCATGTTGTCAACTACAAACTCCTCCTCTTCAACTTCCTCTTCTTCCTCGGACTCCTCTTCTTTGGTTTGAGCCCGAATCGCAAGTCCCTTCCCTGCTTCCCTTAAATCCCTCTCATGAGCAAGAAACCAAAGAGTCTGATTGATATTGTCGTCTAGTGGCACTAAGTGATCTAGATTGTTCTGGATCAAACAACACAAAAGTGTGGAGCAAAATCAAGTTACAACACAAAATTTGCAAGAAAAAACTAGATTAACGACATTTCACTTTTTTGAATAATAAACCATTGTCCCCGACAATGGTGCCAGAAAAACTTGACTTGTGGTAACTATATCTATCTCGTTCAAAGGCCATGTGCTACCTTCAACTGAGTGTAGTATATATCAAATATTTTTTAAATATCAACCAAAGCAGTCTATCTAGGGAGCTCTAAACTAGGTAGGAGTCCCTATTCCCTATTCGAGCTATCTTATCCCGCCTACTTGCACTATTGAAAGAGGCGTATCGAACTACCGACCTAGGCAATTGGGGCTAGAGTAGTCAAAATCTTGTTTTAAATCTTAAAATCTTACGATTTCACGATTTTACATACCTATTCCGATTATGATTTCACTATAAAATCTACATACCATAAAATCCTACACTATTCACGATTTAAATCCTGAAATTCTTTAAATCTTATGATTTTACGATTCAAATCTTTGGGTTAATTTTACTTATTTTCCTCATAATTTGAAAAATTATGCCTCTTTTCCTTCTCCTCCACCAACATCGTCTAGTTATCTTACATTATCCACCATAGACCATCATCAATTCACATCAATGTATTAATCATTATTGATTTACCACTTGCTAACATTAACCTTGGTAAATGAGAACATTAATATTGAGAATTATCATTGTAAGTGTTATGTATTTTTTTGTTATTCATGATTTCCTTATTAATATTTCTATTTTCATTTTTATGTGGACCTTAAAACGTTATAATTTTACAATTCGATTTTATAATTATGATTTTACCCCCATTTTCAATTTTACATAAAATCCCGATTTTGACTACTATGATTGGGCCAGCCAAAGCTACTAACACATTTGGGTAATGACCTGATACAAACAAGGAGTCTAATCACACTCGTTCATAGATCCCTGATAGACCGTTGATTGCACATGTTCTTACCCCTATTCTTGAGCCGTTTGAGATGTTGATTCTCGTGTTTTAGGCCGATTTCACGCTAGGTTGTTCTTGTTTGTGATATTTCAGGTCCTAGAACGTGAATGAAGGTTTAGGAATGAGTTCAAGGTCGATTGGACGGAGATCAGACGTTTGGCGAGAAGCTGAGGAAGCCACACGGGCATGCCTAAAACCCACACGGCCGTGTAAGGGAACCCATGTGGCCGTGTGGAAATTCCAGGGAACTCACACGGGCAGCGTGGAAACTCACACGGGCAGCTGGGAAAGCCACACGGCCATGTGGCCTGCCCGTGTGGTCGGGAATTTCTGGGTAATTTCGAGCCAAAGGAGAGGGAATTGACTTTTTGGAGCAAAAACAGAGCCCTAGAGAGAGAAAGTGCAAAGAACACCTCCTAAGAGTGGTTTTGGAGCTGGGTTTTATCAATCAAGCTTGGAAATCATCTTTGGAGTGAAGATTGACATCCCATAGCAGATTCTTCCAATTGTTATGAGTATGACTGCTTTGTATTTTGTTTCTCTCTCTCTCTATGGAGTAGAACCTTCTCTCACTTGGGTATGAAGAACCCTAGTTCCATGTGTTAGGGATCTTGATTGTAATGACTTGGGATTGTTATACTGTTTGGTTTTAATCGATTGATGCATGATTCATTGAATCAATTGAAGTATGATCATCTTTTCTTGATTTCTGCTGCAACCTGAGATAGATAGAATCTGATTAGGTTGTTAAAGCTTCATCATTCGGTAGTGGTAGATTGGTTATACGAGAGGTAATCAATCTACTGCTTAGTACTGGAACCCAATTCCATTAGTGGAGTTCTGTGCGCATTGCCTCAGCTTTCTATCCCGGTGAAGACTAGTCGTCTGCCAGGTAGTTGGATTGAGAGGGCTTGGTCAGCTTAAGAGATTCCAAGCTACTGTCGGATCTTCCGCAGTTTAATCAACAGTAAATCAACCCAAAGTAATTACAACTGAGACCTAACTACGGAGCTAGGGGGACTCATTCCCGAGTGACTCTTCCTTTGCTTTAGAAAACCGAACCAGTTACTGCTTTCTTACTACTTTTAGTTAAAACCACAATCAATCGACTTAGTTGGCTAGATAATAGATATTCACGGAGTAGGCAGTAGATCTAGACCCCAGGTTAATAATTAGAACTTGCCACTTTACTGCATTTCTGGACTGCGATTACACTTGGTCGCAGTTTGGTGTTGTGTTTTAGCGTGTCAAGTTTTTGGCGCCGTTGCCGGGGACCTTCTAGGTTATTGGAGAAATGTGAAAGTTTGTTACTCTAGCCTTTTCTTTACTGTATTTTCTCTCTTCCACCTGTGTGCCTTCACGGGTTGCTTTTGCTTATTGTGTGCATGTAGTGCATGACCCGTAGCCAGTCGGGAGATTTACTAACAATAGACCAGGAGCTTGAACGGACCTGTAGGAACTTCAAGCGGGCTCTAAGGGCGAGACTCACTGTGGAGGAGGCGCTAGCACAGCTGCAAATCGCCGACAAAGAAGAGATGGGTGATCCACATAACAATGATATGGTCATCCCCGAGGAATAGACCATGGGGTACTACTGGACCGCCATAGCCGCGTACATGAGGTCGCCCATTCAGCACCCTCATGTACCAGCGAATAACTTTGAGGTGAGTACCTCTGTCATCACCATGCTGCGCGGTTCGGTGGTGTTCCGTGGCAAAGAGGGGGAGTGCCCCCGATCACATCTGAGGCGATTCCACGAGCTCATCGTTGGAATCAAGATAAATGGGGTCCCAACCGATGCCATCCAGCTGAGGTACTTCCCATTTACTCTGGAGGGGCAGGCCAAGGAGTGGCTAGACACTCGAAATCCAGGCTCTATCACCACGTTCGCCAACCTGGCGGACAAGTTCCTCACTCGCTACCATCCTCCGTCCAAGACGGCGGACCTGCAGAAGCAAATTACCCACTTTGCTCAGGTTGAAGATGAGACCATCCGGGATGCTTGGGAAAGATACACCAGTCTTTTCCTCAAGCGCCCCAATCATGGCTTTATCGACGCCTTCAAGGTGGGCACATTCTACCATGCCCTCCTCCCGGAAGACAAGCAGCTGATTGACTCGGTCTATGGCGGGAATATGCTCACCAAAACACCGCCACAGCTGAATCAACTCTTTGAAGAGATGAAAGAGCAGGGCTATGACTGGGGAACTGCGAAGAGATTGAGACGAGCACCAGGTCCCGGACGTCGAAGGAAAGGCTAAGAACGAGTTTCGGGGCATTCGAAAGTCACGGGCGCGCCTAAATCAAAACACGGCCGTGTTCCTGGACCGTGTTTTTACTACCGAGGCTTGATCCAAGATTGTCCTGCGCTAGCCCAAAACACGGGCGGGACTGACCCAAAATACGGCGTGTCCTACATTAGGCACGACCGTGTTTTCCCCAAAATCTGGCCGTGTTTTTAACACGTGGCAAGGGCACGGGCGGGCAGCAGCAAAGTGCTGCCGTGCCCTCGACCGTGTTTTGCCCAGTGATGCCCTTTTAGGAAGATTTCAGCCAAAAGAGAGGGGATTACGAGTTTTAGAGAGACAGAGCGATTCCTAGAGAGAGAAAGCGACGAACCAGAGTTCCCAAGTTCCCTAGCTTGATCTTCATCACCATTGGAGCCCGGCTTGAGCTTGGAGAAGTGCCGATCGACGACCAGGAGCAGAAACCCATCCTTCATAGTATGGTTTCCGTATCTGAATCTGCTTTTGCTTCTTTCTCCATGGAGTAGTTTTCTTATTCATCTGGGTATGGAGAACCCTAGATTTGTATGTTAGGTCTGATTGTATGAACCCAAGTACAGATTTGATGATTTGATTATATTCAATTGAGGTTTGAATGATTGAATGGCATGAATCTTGATCAAATTCCTGTTATTTCTGCTTTGACCTAGAAAGAGAATATCTTTCTAGGTTGATAGAGCACCCTTAATTGAAGGTGGTGAACTGGCGACTTTAGTCGAGGAGCCAATTCACTATTCTGTACCGGAGTTACTTTGGTTGTGGAGGTTTTGTTCGTTAGGGCCTAAATCTGTTTACTCCGATGGAGGTTAGTCGCCCGCTGGAGACTCAGATTGTGAAGGTCTGGAGACCTTTAGTCGAGACTTCAGACTGTTTAAGAACCTTCCGCAGTATAACTATCATTAAAACTGAACTTGGTAAATTGCAATCCGGCTTAACTGCAGTCTAGGGGGAACCATATCCGGGTGACCTCTCTCGACTTGAAACAACCATTTAATTGCTTTGCTTGTTTGCTTAATTGAACCTGCACTAAAGTTTCACTGCTAGATAATAAGAATTCACTGAGTAGTCATCACATCTAGGACATGGGTTGACATTAAAACCCAAACCTGCTATACTACGCTCTAGGAAGTGGTTACACTTGGCCATTTTCTAGGGTGACAGTAGGAGTGAGCCAAGTTTTTGGCGCCGTTGCCGGGGAAGGCTAGTTTGTTGAAGAAAAGTGATTTCTGTTACTTTAGCATTTTTATTTTCGCATTGACTGTTTGTTCTTTCCCACTTGTGCCTTCACGGGTTTGCTTGCTTGATTGTGTGCAGGTAGTGCATGACTCGTAGCCAGTCGGGAGGTTTACTGCCGTTGGATCCGGAGCTTGAACGCACCTGTCACCAACTCAGGAGACAACAGCGAGCTAGACTGGCTACGGAGGAGCGCATAGACGGCCATTCGAGCAGCGAGTCCGAGGACGAGTACGAGATGGAAGGAGATTACAATCCACACCAGGGGAATCCTCACCAGGTTCCCCCGGTAAATCAGGTCTTGGGGAACAACCCCATACCCCAGGCAGATGGGGTTCATCATCATCCACCGCTGCCGGGTTCCACCTTGGAGTACTACTACACTCCACGGATTGCTGACATCAACCAGGTCATCCTCTACCCGCCTATTCCAGCGAACAACTTCGAGATCAAGCCATGCTGGATTCAACTCATTACATCATCTATCCAGTTCCATGGCTTGAAGGATGAGGAGGCAAGGGTGCATCTTTCCCGTTTTCTGCAGCTGACGAACGGGTTCAAGCTAAACGGTGTCCCTGATGACGCAATCCGCCTTCACCTCTTTCCCCATTCTCTGGTGGGGAATGCTAAGAGGTGGTTGGAGACCCAGCCCCCATTGTCCATAACTTCTTGGGATGATATGGCCGTCAAGTTCGTGCACAGGTACTACCCAGCATCGAAGACCACAGAGATCCAGCGGGAGATCACTCACTTCCATCAAGAGCTAGACGAGTCACTTCGGGATGCATGGGAGCGGTACATGGGATATTTCTGGCAGTGTCCCCAACATGGCTTCAGTGATACATTCACAGTGGGGAACTTCTACAGTGCTCTCTCTCCGGACAGCCAGAGGGTGATTGAGTCTCTATGCCCAGGAGGGGATATTCTTACTAAGACTCCACCCGAACTAAACCAGATGATCAGTTCCTTGGCTGCCAGAGATCATTCTTGGGGGCAGAGCAGCAGATGCAGAAATTCCCGGGACCGTGGTGTGCATGCCATGGAGGCCAGGTCTGGGCTCGAGCAGCAGGTAGCCGAGTTAGTGTAGACATTGAAGCAGCCCAACAGTCTTATTCTGGGCAGAGGTTTGGCTACACCTCCAGCAGCTCAATATCAGTGGTGTGAGAGCTCAAATCACCTAGTGGAAGACTGTCAGGCTACGAGGGAGTCTTCTACTCCCCAAGAGCAGTTGGACTTCATCGCCAATGCTCGGCGCCTTGACCCGTACAACAATACATATAATGAGGGGTGGCGCCAGCATCCCCATTTCTCTTAGAGTAGCACACCACTAAACCACCTGGTTTCCCAGCACTAGCTGGTGGTTTTCAGCAGAGGCAGCCTTTCCAGGCTCGACAAGGGCCAGCTCCACAGCAGCAGTCCTACCAGCTTAGGCTGGGGCAACCATTCCAGCAGCCCCAGCGTCAGTTTGCCGAGCCAGCAGCAGCTCCGACTCCAGATAATCAGATGACGGAGCTGGAAAAACATTCTAGCGGCATTCATGACTACCACCCAGGCAACTGTCACGAGGATGGACCAGAGCATAGCCTCACTGGAGGCAGGTCAGAGGAACCAAGGTGCCATTTTGCAAGATTTGCAGAACCAGAAGGGTAGCATGGCTCGCCAAAACACTATTAGGGCATCTGGGACTCTGCCTGCCACCACTATTCCGAATCCTCGTGAGCCTCACCAGTACCAGCAACTAGATGCCATCACTACCAGGAGTGGCAAGACCACATCTGCTGCTCCTGCCCAGCCCAGTCAAGATGAGCCACTACCTGCTTCAGCACTTCCAGCTGATAATGCAGAAGTGGGGGGGGGGGGGGAGACAAAGAAGCACCTGCTCCCAAGCCACAGCCAGTGGTTAAGGAGCATGTACCCCAGCTTCCTTTCCCCACTCGCCTACATAAAGACAAGCTGGAGACTGAGTTTTCCAAGTTCATGGCAACGTTGAAGCAGGTCAACATCAGCATGCCGTTCGTGGAGGCACTGTTGAAGATGCACAAGTATGCCAAGTTCATGAAGGACCTCCTCACCAACAAGAAGAAACTTGGGGATCTTTCGATAGTGATGCTGAGCGAGGAGTGTTCGTCTATCCTGCAGAACAAGATGCCCGAGAAGCGTAAAGACCCAGGGAGTTTCACTATCCCTCTTGTTATTGGCAGCATGCATGTAGGAAAGTCCTTGGCGGACCTAGGCACTAGCATAAATGTCATGCCCTACAAATTGTTTAAAAAGCTAGACCTTGGTGAACCTAGAGCTACTAGGATGAGCATTCAGTTAGCTGATTGTTCCATCGTGCATCCTAGGGGTATCATTGAAGATTTGCTTGTTAATGTGGGTGCATTCACATATCCTGTTGACTTTGTTATCCTGGATATAAATGAGGATGTGGATGTACCTTTGATTTTGGGTAGACCGTTTCTCGCCACCACCAAGGCGCTTATTGATGTGCATAGTGGTAAATTGATTCTGCATGCTGGTGATGAACATGCTACTTTTTCTGTGTCTGAGAATGGGAAACACTCCCATTTGTATGATGACATAGATTACTGTGATGTGCTTGCTGATTTTGAGACCGCACTCGCTATAATGAGTGCGGGTACTGACGATGCTCTTGAGCGTTGTATTTTTCTAGCTGAGCAGGCATCGCAGGAGCCGCAGCTGGCGGAGCAGTTGGCCGTGCTGGAGAGTGGCACATCCCTGGAGGGCGACCGACTGTTCAAACCGATCTCATCCTCACCTCGCATCACTACCTCCTTGGAGGAACCACCAGAGCTGGAGCTAAAGCCCCTCCCTCCTCACTTGGAGTATGCATTTCTCCGGGAGGGGAATAAGCTTCCAGTCATCATCAGCTCGACCCTCACACCCGAGCAGAAGGACAGACTGGTGGCCTTGCTGAAGCGGCACGAGCGTGCTCTAGCGTGGAAGATCACAAATATCCGGGGGATCAGCCCCTCCTTCCGCTCCCACCGAATACTGATGGAGGATGAGATGCGGCCAGTGAGACAGCCGCATAGAAGACTGACACCGAACCTGGAGGCTGTGGTTCGGGCAGAGATCGTGAAGCTGCTGGACGCGGGGATCATCTTCGCCATTTCTGACAGAGAGTGGGTCAGTCCCACCCAGGTGGTACCCAAAAAGGGTGGGATGACTGTGGTGCCTAACGAGAAGAATGAGCTCATCCCGATGCGCACGGTGACTGGGTACCGTGTCTGCATTGATTACCGGCGTGTCAACGACGCCACTCGGAAGGACCACTTCCCGCTGCCGTTCATTGACCAGATGCTGGAGAGATTGGCGGGGCATGAGTTCTACTGTTTCCTGGATGGGATGTCCAGCTACTTCCAGATACCCATTGCACCGGAGGACCAGGCGAAGACCACTTTCACCTGTCCCTTCGGCACATTTGCCTACCGGAGGATCCCGTTCGGGCTATGTAACGCCCCCGCCACTTTTCAGCGATGCATACTCGCCATCTTTGATCGTCTAGTCGGCGAGATTATGGAGGTGTTTATGGACGACTTCTCGGTTTACGGAGACTCATTCTCTCACTGTCTCCATAACCTGGAACTCGTCCTTAAACGGTGTGAAGAAACGAACCTAGCACTGAGTTGGGAGAAGTGCCACTTCATGGTTCGCGAAGGCATAGTTCTGGGCCATAAGATCTCCAAGATGGGGATTGAGGTGGACAGAGCAAAGATCGAGATTATCAGCAAGCTGCCTCCTCCTACATATGTTAAGAGGATCCGGAGTTTCGTAGGCCATGCATGGTTCTACAGGCGGTTCATCAAGGATTTTTCAAAGATCGCCCTGCTCCTGACTAAGCTTCTTGAGAAGGATGCCCCCTTCCAGTTCACTGATGCATGCATAGGGGCCTTCACGACCTTGAAGGAAAAGCTCACTCAAGCTCCTATCATGGTTGTTCCTGACTGGTCCCTGCCATTTGAGCTGATGTGCGATGCTAGTGACTTTGCTGTTGGAGCTGTATTGGGGCAGAGGCGACATCAGCACTTCCGACCTATCTACTATGCCTTGAAGACCTTGAATGATGCCTAGGAGAACTACACCACCACGGAGAAGGAGCTGCTCGCGGTGGTGTTTGCCTTTGATAAATTTTGTCCCTATCTGGTCTTGTCCCATGTGACCGTGTATACAGATCACTCCGCGATTCGATACCTGATGAGCAAGGCCGATGCCAAGCCTAGGCTCATACGATGGATCTTACTATTGCAGGAGTTCGACATCGAGATTCAGGACAAGAAAGGAGCGGAGAATGTTGCAGCCAATCACCTCTCCCGGTTGGACGCACCTCCTGCGGACAACCTCGAGGAGGAGATCAAGGACTCCTTCCCGGATGAGAGACTAATGATGATGTACTTGGTGTAGAGTGTCACCCCTTGGTACTCTGATTTTGCGAACTATCTGGTGGGCCAGCAGCTGCCCACGGGGATGACAACCCACGCCAAGAGAAAGTTTTTCTCCGACCTGAAGCACTACTTCTGGGATGACCCTCATCTCTTCAGGATCGGAGCCAACGGGATAATCCGTCGTTTTTTTATGGAGAGTGAGATGGAGGGCATTCTATCTCACTGTCATGAAGGACCTACTGGCGGTCACCATGGAGGAAACCGCGCAGTGAGGAAGGTGCTACAGTCGGGCTTCTACTGGCCCACGCTCTTCAAGGACGCAGACACATTTGCACGCAGGTTCGACCGATGCCAGAGGTCAGGTAACATCTCTACCCATGATGAGATGCCCCAGAACGTGTTTATAACTTGTGAGATTTTTTTATGT